GATAGTTTCGTGGATAAATCGATTACTATGCGGGTCCCTCGGAGGGGCGGATCCGGGCGGAGCTGGAGGTTGGCTACGTAGTCAGCCTCCAGCGCAGTGTGTCCTTGCACGCACTCACAGACTTGGCTCTCTTGGCGTCTCGAGCCTCAGCATCTTCGTTTACCTTCCATGTTGCGAGCATGCGGTCCGTGACGATTACGTCTACGGCATCGCTCGCCTTGTCAAAGTGTTCGACATTGATCGCCGCAGCAATTAGAGTGATTGCTTTTAAGAGATGTTGGAAGCTGTTCATTTTGACTGCGACCCGCTAGCGACCAGCTCCAGCGACGGCGAGTTACGGACGAGCTCCCCGTGGTCAGCCTCGTCCGGGAATATCCCGTAGGCGCATGCAGGGTGGAAGGTCAACGGACCGGGGGTGAGAGCGAGGGTAGCGTTCGGGTTACCGAGTTCCGTGAGCCGTTTTGATCGTACCGCGTCGAGGAGAGGTTGGGCGATCACGAGGGCGCCTAGAATGAGAGAGCGTTTATGGTCACGTGGTTTATGGACACCATGGTGTGACTAACTTTGGCAGTGTTGCCTGGTCGCCAGATGAAAATGATAAAAATTCGTAAATTGAATATTGCAATTACCAGAGCTCTAAAAATCGCGTAACTTGGTGTATATGCTAAGTAGCCTATGAGGATTCCATTTCAAGAATAATCTATCAGTTTAATTTTCGTGTCATAACCCCTTTAACGTCGCGTAAAGGCTCGTTCACACAGCTGCGTTTGACTGCGTTTGACTTCCTTAAGACTGACTGCCTCGAGCTGTTGCTTTGGCGACCCTTATGGCGACACAATGGGGAGGCGCTGCGCTGCACGACGCAAAACAGCGCAACGCTGTCGACACAAACGTGTGAAACAGCCTTAAAGGGGCCATGAAACAAATTTTGGGCTGGAACAAGTGAGTTTAGACTGGGATATTACTTATAGCATATCGTTTAGTGGGCCAAAAGAAATAGGGTAGAAAGTCAAAAGCCTGATTATCGGTAAGAAAATTTGTAAACACACCGGTCTATTTCGTACCTCCTTCCCTTCGAAAGCTCCCTGCCCCTTCACTGTGATATATGCGTGGTACCGATTGCGCGTCACCCGGCCCAAACGCACGTCACACGACACCGGACCACACTTAATCCCTTCCAATTTAAGCTGACAGTGCGGTGGAAGCTTTGCGCTTGCAAGACCTATCAGCAGCCTCCCTTTCATCACCTCACCTGCTCTGCTCACCGCATTCTCTGCTGGTGGGCATGCGGGAGGGAGCGTGGTGACGTGGGAAAAGTGTGGCTGGCCCAACGAGCATGTAGCTTCCACAGCACTGTCAGCTTCGGGGTGAACGGAGTGGGGAAAGCAACTTTTGTCCGAGTTTTGAGCGACGGGCTAATCTTCTAGGAGCAGAATGGCGGTGTCCGCGGGTACACAAACGAGGGTCCGAGCAAGAGGGGAGTCCCTCCTTTTCGTCTTCTTGAACTTTGTGGTGCAAAGCACGATTTGTGAGTTGAGGAGTCAAGCTAAAAAGGAAAAGTTAAAAATTCCTTTTATGACCCTTTTAAGGCTTCCAGTGTGTCACTCTCGTTAGTGACGCTCGTCCATATTGACAGTTCGTGACGCTTGTTGGTGACGCTCGTTCATGGCGCTCGTGCTTGTCGATTGGTGGACACTTTTTTATGACGATGTTCTTGTGAAATCGACTCAGAAAACCCAATATTAAAAAGGCGCAGTGTCGCAGCGCATTCACTACGCGTGGTTGGTTTAGTTGAGAATATCAAAGACACACGGCCAACGAGCGCCGTGAAACTTTTGGAGTTGACGAGGGTAGAAAGTTGGGCGAGTTGGTGATTCATAATAATTAAAAAGCGCAACAGGACAACGGACACAGAAGGAGACACAGGCACAGCGCTACTTACAACTGAACTTTATTTCCGCTGGAGCTCGGTATATATTATCGGCAACAACACAAACAAGTTAGGAAGATATAAGATACACATCGCAAAAATCTTTAAAAACAACATAAAATAACTAAAAAATTCCCGCATCACTCATCGGCACCCACCCAAAACTAGTCATGCTTGGTCAAGAAACTGCAATTCTTTTTCTGATAACGATAAAGAGGGTGCGCTTACACATTGCAGCCCTAATCTAGCAATTTCTCGAGCCTCGAGTATTTCCCTTGTGGTTTTGTTTCTGTTTTTGTTCAGTACTGTACAATCTGTGAAAATCGGAGTACAACCACAATCCCGGCAATGCACACCGAGGTGTCCTGATATGACGGCATCAACGTTGTAACGGTGTTCCCTCAATCTTTCATTTAGGCTGCGACCAGTCTGCCCCACATAATGACGCCCGCACGATAATGGCACGGAGTACACAACCTCTTCTGTACACTCAACAAAGCAAGTTTTGTGCTTTTTCGTGCAGCCGGGTCTGCTTATGATGTTTGAGGGGGAATTTACCTTTTTATATAAACTAGCCAACTTGACAGGTGCTGAAAAAACAACGTTGACCCCTGCGCGCAAGCCCACTCTTTTCAGGTTATGGGACACTTTATGTAGCTATGGTATGACCACTGGTTTCTCTTTTTTCTTTCTCTGGCTAGCAAACTTGAGCGTTCTACGGTTGTAAGCATTTTTAGATTTGTGGACGATTCTTTATTCCTCTTGGACTGCGGCTGGATGTCTTTGAGGAGCAGGTGTCCGTGACCCTGTTTACTTTTAGTGACTGTCTAAGGCCCCTGGTGATAACACATGAAGTGCCAGAGGGGGGTTCCATTAGGTTTTTAGACCTGAGGCTTGACTTTCGACCCGAGCATGTATGTTGGATTTATGAACCTAATCCAAGCTAATCCTGCCATTCGCGTCGGCGCAGTCAAAGCTCCTGAAAAGGGGGATAATCAATCTTTGCTTCGGTAACGCTCTAAAGAAGTCGTGCACTCACAAGATCAACGAAAGTTTTAAAAATCAGGTGTCAAGACTCAAGTCCGCGGGGTATCCAGTCTCTCTTTTAACAGCCGTAGCAGAGAACACTCTCAAGACGTTAAAGAATAAAAATAGGGAAGGAACGGAAGTACAGAGAAAGAAAAAAGAGAAACCAGTGGTCATACCATACCTACATAAAGTATCCCATAACCTGAAAAGAGTGGGCTTGCACGCAGGGGTCAACGTTGTTTTTTCAGGACCTGTCAAGTTGGCTAGTTTATGTAAAAAGGTAAATTCCCCCTCGAACATCATAAGTCGTGCACCCGGCTGAACGAAAAAGCACAAAACTTGCCTTGTTGAGTGTACAGAAGAGGTTGTGTACTCCGTGCCATTATCGTGCGGGCGTCATTATGTGGGACAGACTGGTCGCTGCCTAAATGAAAGATTGAGGGAACACCGTTACAACGTTGATGCCGTCATATCAGGACACCTCGGTGTGCATTGCCGGGATTGTGGTTGTACTCCGATTTTCACAGATTGTACAGTACTGAACAAAAACAGAAACAAAACCACAAGGGAAATACCCCAGGCTCGAGAAATTGCTAGATTAGGGTTGCAATGTGTAAGCGCACCCTCTTTATCATTATCAGAAAAAGAATTGCAGTTTCTTGACCAAGCATGACTGGTTTTGGTGGGTGCCGATGAGTGATGAGTGATGCAGGAATTTTTAGTCATTTTATGTTGTTTTCAAAGACCTTTACGATGTGTATTTTATATCTTCCTAACTTGTTTGTGTTGTTGCCGGTAATATATACCGAGCTCCAGCGGAAATAAAGTTCAGTTGTAAGTAGCGCTGTGTCTGTGTCTTCTTCTGTGTCCGTTTTCCTGTTGCGCTTTTTAATTATTTTGGAGTTGCCTGATTGGGTCCATTGGATCCTAGCGCCGGCAGCGCTCGGACTTCAAGTGAAATGGAGCCTTTGAATAAGTAGGGACTGCGCCCGCCGAAAGTGCTCTCCCCGTGGGCCGGGATTCAAACTGCCCCAGTAACTAATAATCAGTCGAAAACTTCAAAAGCGCTATTTTTGGCATAACATTTCTTTACGCCAATAGTTTTTTTTTTTTTTTATCTAGCATACAAGCGCTGCTTTTAAACGCCCCATGTTGTACGACATCTAGTAGCATTTTAGCCCAAAATATCATATTAGATGGCATTACGCTAACGTAGAGGTGTAATCTCATTTGGAAGTAATGAAGCGACTGCTCAATCCGCCCAAATGGCAACACGTACTAAAGGCTGACAATGATCATTATGTGCGAAGAGCCGTTGATTGCGGGTCCCGTATCCTCGTGATGGTATAATTTGCTCACCCTCCTCCGGCAGTACGTGAATACTTTTACTACTTAAAAAGACTTCCGGAGTACCTTACTTATACGAAAACCATAAATTTCATATAAATCGAGCAACCGCTTATGGCGATAAAGGAACAAACCCTTTTACAGACTAGTGTTCTCTGACAAGTGATGGCTGGCGGGCCTGCCGAGGAAGTTTGCGCTGGGAAATCTTTCATGCTGTTCATGACACTGCTGAGTGGGAGAAATAGTAGCTCTTAAAATACGCTATCACATATTTCTTGATTGAGGTTTGAGTGAAAATAAAGATGTTTTAAATAGCGAACGTTTATTTATATTGAATAACCCTTCTCTTTCTTTCCTGACTTTATAAGGGAGGATACGGATGTCGCCACTTGGTGGAGCGCCGTTGTTGAACCAGATATTTCCTTGCAAATAAAAGCAACCCCTTTCTTGTTTAATAAAGTTGGCAGTCAGACGTTTTGTGGTTCTCGGAAGATTGATACAATATGTTGTATCGTGTCCGATGCTTGTGCTGAACTTCTAAAATTATTTTCTACAGCGTAATATACTTCTAGCTTTAGGAAATATATTCGTGGACATTCTTTCGAGCCAGATGCTGGGTGGTGCCATCTGCTGACACTCCTGAATGTAAGAAGATTCCACCGCGACAGAATTCCTGGTGCGAGAGTGACATTACCTTTCAAAAACGGCAGACTGTCCTTGAAGGGCTCCACAAGCACTGGGGGTCCCGGCTTGTCGTGGAAGGCGTCGAATTCCTTCACGAAGCACTGCTTGATCATTTCCGCGTCGCTTATCACCAGCACCGGAGACTCGGAACGGTACATGCCGAACACCTTTCCGTACGTCTTTATCCACTGCCCCATGACCTGCAAAAAGACGGAATACTTCTGAATTGCTACAGAATGCTTTCACCAAGCAGAGAAGTATTAAAATGACTAAAGGCGACTTACTGACCGGAATGAACTTTACATAAAACTACAAGCCCCTAGAAGGTGCGGGGCGGAGGTAGATGAAGAGAAAGATACCGGTGGCGTCAGAAGAACAGCCAACGTTTCAAAAAGAGAGTTTAAAATCTGAGAAGCTAAGCCCATTTCAGGCACTGTGAGTCTCAGATGAGGTTCGTCCTCAAGTTCTCCCACCAGCTTTGATCACCTTTCTTTTTTGCTTAAATTCCAAGTCTTTGGGTATAAAGTGACCGCCAAAATTGATTGCCAAATAAACAGAGAAAGGCTCGAAAAATTGGGAGATGATTCTAGGAGAATAGTGCGTTGTAAACGTTGTAAACGTTGTTCGGCGCCGTAGGTTCAGGGGTCCCCCCTTAGGAAAATTACACGTTTGTTCTCACCGCAAAAATAAAGGACTCACCACCATAAGCCTCTTTCCTAATGTAGGTGCAAAGGTGAAAACTAGATACCAAAATTTTATAACCTACCGTCACCTGATTCAAAATGTGTGAATGTTTTTTTTTTTTTTTTTTTTAATTTTCAATTGGAAGGGGGCGGCCGACGAAGCCTTCAAGTACATGAAGCGGAATGACGCCAGTTACCTAAAACGAACCTATTTTTTCATTGAAACTTAAAAAAAAAAAAACTTATAACATTTTTTACTGCATTATCGGTTAGTTCTGAAACTTTGGCATGCGAAGCTTAAATTTGCGTGGAAAAAACAAAAACAAACTATTTTTGAACAAGTTGCACGTCAGAGACCAGGGAGCTAGCCCCGAAGACTAATTTATTTACGCAAACAATCGTGCCAGGAAGTGGGCTTTTGTGGTGCCAGACGCTCGCGCCCTTCCTCACAACGCAGCACCAAGCCAGAATAATTTGTTTCTTTCAAATATATAGCTTACACGGACATTACATCAGCTTCTATTTTAGTGGCCTTGCTCCTGATCTCCTACCCTCCGCAACACACATTTCCCATCACCAAACGTTTTTTTCTTCTCAAGAAAAAGTGGCAGTGAGCAGCAGCATGCTGCGATGACCACAAGTGCAAGCCATTTATTTATAAGAAAAAAGTTCAGTGTTCTGGTGAAATGTAGTATTTGCAACGTATCAGGTTAACAGAAAGCATTCACCCTCCAAGTTATGGAGTTTTCCAGTATGGAGGAGTCTTCCGGGTACGGTTACCAGGATAATGGTATATCGTAAGACTAGTGTGTTATGCGTTACCGAATGAAATTAACGAAATGCGCTACTCGTTACTTGAAAATAAAAGGAAAGCATTACCGACCTTCCCTATCTCAAAGTAAAAAGAACGCGTTGCCGCGTTACCGTTAAAAGTAGCGCATGTTACTTCCGTGTCCCGTTTTTAAATTATAATTAACACGTTTTACAATTTTGACGTTACATCTATGCATAAGCGTCATATTTTAAGAAACATTATGTCCATTCAGAACCTGAACATAATTACTTGGTCCTTTTAACTGTTCAATGTAAATACTTACACGAAAGTACGCAAAAGAATGCAAAATGATTACAAATTTATATAGCTTGGCGCTTAGAAAGAGAAAAAGAATTTGAAGCGTGATTTTTTTGAAACTTGGAGAAAAACGTGACGAGTAGCGTAGCTACGTTACACGTTATTCAAAATGAGTAACGTTAAGTACGTTACCCGTTACTGCTTTGAAAATGTAAGAGTACATTACAACGTTACCGGAAAGCGTAACGCGTTACCGGTAACACCGTTACTTGCAACGCGTTAGCGTCAACTGCGTATGACTGATGAAGCAGAGGTAGGGCCACGATGGGTTCATATCAGAAGAGCGAATGACATTTTAGCGAACGGCGACATTTGAGCGAATGGTCGTTTTAGCGAATAACCGGGGCGCGCGTTAACCCATCCGTCGCGCTGCGCTTTACGCCGCTTCGCGGCGACAGTCTGCGGCAACTCATTACAAAAATATGAACTCATTTGGCCCACCCGAAAACGCCGCTTCGCGGCGTCCCACTATTCGCTAAAGTGTCGTTCGATGAAACGTGGGCGTTCGCTAAAACGTCATTCGATCAAGTGAGTGCCTCCCGGGCCACGATACACGTGTACGTAAAACTGAATATATTATAGGCCTCCCGACGACAGCATTTCACAAAGTGTCTAGGCCCAGGTAATAATCAGAGGTCAAAGCGATATAAGCAATTATATTAGTAATATCATTGCATCTTTATGGACGCTACTTTTATGTTCCTCGTGAGTGTGGGATCGTGTCGTAGGCTACATTGTCCTCCATGGTGAATCAGATGGACGCAAAACATCGAACTCTGACATCCACTTGTCCCGTTTTCGCCAGCTGACTCCTCAAACCAAGGTAGTATTTCAATATCGATTCTTGATTAGCAAGGCGGCATTACGAGTTGTACATCCTGCATTGACTTCGAACTGCCAGGTATCTAAATGTGTCTTTTTTGATGCGATAGCATTCTTTAGCTACTTCACCCGGTTTTCAAGATACGTTCTCTGACCTCAAATCACGAAGTACGTGCGCGGCGCCTCGGCATGCGCAGGACGTCCGCATACGCGCGACGTCCGGATATGCAGGTGGTGCGCGTATGCGGACGCAGTCCTCGACGGCGTCCTAAAGGTCATCCTTGAGCCCGTCCTAGACGCCGCTTTTGAGATCGTCCTAGAGATCGTCCTAGAGGTCATTCTAGACGTCGTCCTTGAGGTCGCCTTGGAGGTCGTCTTAGAGATCGTCCTTGTGATCACCCTGGAGGTCGTCCTAGAGGTAGGTGGTCGTAGACGTAGTTCCCTAGGACGTTGTCTAAGACGTAGTCCTCTAGGACGTCCTCCTCGGCGTCGTCCTAGCAAGCAGATAAACCCGCACCGAGCAGACACGGAGCGGCAGTACGCACACATTCGCATTTGAAACCCAGGCTACAAAACAATTATCGGTTTGAGTTGAGCCAGTTGGTACAGGTCAATGATGGTGGTGAAAAAGCTTGAACATTAAACGATTACATAGGGAGGAAAGAAGACACTCACACGAAGCTGCAATGGTGGGAAAAGAGCTTGAACATCACACGATCATGCAGAGACAGAACATTAAACGATTGCACAGAGACGAAGCAATCACTCGATTTCGAAGTGGTGCGCTGCAGTCTTGCTGACGTAAAACGACTGTGTCGTAAACCATGAATAAAATAATGTGTTTACCCAAGATTTGCGTCGTCGTATTCACAGTGAGCTGCGTCGTGAGTCTCATGACGAAGGCTATCGCAATTCATCGATAACGAGCAATAGTGCTTTCTGGAGCCAATTTTTAATTTAACTTTCTTTGAATGGCTAAGATAGTGACTAATGCAAGGTGTGTATGTCATTTATCACTTATATCTGCGGTGTATTACAGGAAAAGGAAATTAGACACAAGAATTACATGAGAACGGTTAAGCTTCACATATAAGAGTGGAACGCGATAGGTAAACATATCAACTCCCGCTCGCTCCCAAACCATGGAAGCGTGTCTACGAGGCCTAATCAGCAGCGTGTCGGGCTCGCAACCAAAGGGTCGCGGGATCGAATCCCGGCGAAAATTCTCTGAGACGTGCGGCGACATTTAATTCGCATTACTTGTCGTGTTTTGATCACTTTTATTTCACGCGTGACGCCATGTTTCACGTGAGCGTTGTCGGTAGTTTGAAGTACGCGCGCTAGGTCATGTGCTTGTGACGCCATGAGCCTATCGACCTATCAGGATTTTCCCGTCCCAGCAACGCTGACGCCGGCTTTTGTGTGACACGAGCTGCTTAACGCTATCGCGTTAAAATGAGATGCACAACAATATATGAAGAGCTACTTACGTGATGTGTAAAATTAGCCACCGCAGCAGTCACTATTGGGGCGCTGGAGTCGCTGAGCAAACCTGATAGTGCGCCGATAACCTCAACTCTTTCTGGCGCCATAGCTTTTTCCACTTCATTTATCGCACTGGCTTTTTACCCCTCTGCGCACGACCAATCTAAAAAAAAAGCCTTATATTCAAAAGTCCGATAATCCATTAAATGAGCGATGTTTTCGATTGGTTTGAAGACGGTAACCACTGACCTCTATTATAGGGGGCTGGATGGCGCATCGAGCAAACAGGTATGAAACCACCCGAAGTAACCGGAGCAAACAGGTATGAAGCCACCAAGCGGCTTGTCCCAGAAGTAACCATTTGGCAGGCTTTGTAACCCTTCCGAGTGCTGGTTCAAAAAGCGTCTAGGGCGCTGGATTTTCGCTTGTCACCTCAAGAGAGCCTGCTTGTTGCGCAGTAAGAGCGCATGCAGGCCCGAGAAGTATCAGGGGAAGCCATTCAATGTAAACATTTTGCGATTCTTGTTGATCAAGTTTACATGTGTCCGAAGTTCCAATGCCTCATTTTCGGTATTTAATTCGGACCAGGATTATTAAAACCCACTGAAAGACACAGGAAAGTATGAACCAAAACATCGACTGAACGGACTAGGAAGCCCAGCAGACGCCCGACTTCCGGGAGAGGCATCGAACTTCCGGTGGCTTCACTTGTACCCTGCTCGGAGAGCGGCTATGCGCTATCCAGCCCCCTATAGTAGAGATCAGTGACGGTAGCTGGCCCATTTGGGGAGTAAAAAATGGCCACGTTTTTTTGATTGCGCGGCTAGCGGGGAAACCACAGTCATGACCTACATAACGGGTTGTAATAGTATCACGTAAAACCAGGATTTGACAACGTTACGTTATGGCGTCACGCGATCTGACCTCACATGACTCTGCAGGTCACGCGACGTCAATTTACCAGCTAAATTTGGCGGGAAATTTAGCCTAACACGATTTGACGCAACGTGACATCATGGCATCTCGTAACACCAGCACTTGACTCCTTGACGGCACGGTGTAATATGACCTGACATCAGACAACGTCGGGTTACGTCCACGTCAAATTTCTTGCTAAATCTAACAGGGGAAAGTCGGACGAACGGACGGAAAACAAAAATAAAAATCTTCCGCTAAAAAAAAATTACGCTATAGAAAGAAATGATCATACCAGTCCTTGATAGTATTCTTTTCAGATGAACTTCTTTCAAACGTCCGTCGGAACAGACGCCGCCCCGTAATGGCCGATTAAAGCTTGGGGAACCCCACAACGCCGTACGATTTTTCTTCCCCGGTGCGCTCTATTACAAAGATAGTGGTGCTGGTGAGAAATTGAATTCAAATACTATGTCAGGAGTTCTTTCTATTGGTATCTACCTCCCTCGTACCTCTTTGTTTCCTTCTTTAGTAGTACCCCACACAACAGGGTGAGCTTTCATTTGGACACCTTCTGTATTACTTGGGGAAACATCGCCAACACCGCATTAGGTATGAAGAATGCCATTATTAGACTGAAGCGCCTCGGAAATATTCGGAGGCTTCAGTTAAACCCAGAGTGCAAAACAGTAGAGTGACACACCTTAATAGTGTCTTCACTAAGCTGCTTCCTGTTTCCCCAGAGAAGAGTCGGCTTCGGCCCAGGGACGCCCAGATCCCTGAAGAAGGTGTGTTTTCGACGCCTGTCACGAATCCACCAGATGACACAGGTGAGGAGAACAGCCGCTGCTGCCAGCAGGACTTTCAAGAGAAATCCCACCATGGCTTCGGGCTGGTGTCACTGTGAATGAAACGAGTTGAAATTTCAGCGTCATGAGTTTTGGGGCCGTTCATGCTTCGTTTGGTCGCACTCTTCGTGACCGGTTTGAAAACATTTTAAATCCACCTTCCAAATCTTTGTATACTTTATATTTACTCTGGCCACGGCTCTCTCGCTTGGTTCGTACATTTCCAGAAATTTCATATCGTCACTAGAAGCGCGAGTGTTTTCTTTTTGTACCTATTTTGACGATGATTTAGGGAAACAGACATAAGTAAAAACCCGCGTCTTCAAGCTTGTCACTATAGGCTAGCGATATGCCTCTGCGTTAGGCGTCTTCACCAATCTGAAAGACTCACTCGGAGGGCTCGACTGAGACAATGCTCCCTCAGTGCGCCCGATTCTGCAGGGCAGCATTATCATGCCTCGCTCCCTGCGGAGCGATATGGAGCTGCCCACAACGCACACCCCCCCCCCCCCCCCCCCTCCCTGTCTCGGCCAAGCGCTCCGAGTTGGTCTTTCATATTGTTGGAGGTTCTGCGTGCACGTTTGAGTAACTTCATTACACCCAAACAGCATTTTAAAGAATACGTTGTACGAGAATCGTGCGCTATAAACCACAAAAAGTGTACCGAAAGGTTTTATGGGATTTTTTGTCTAAGTAGTCTGATATCTGCAGCGAGTTTATATGTGTCAGTGTGTGCGGCTTATGTCCGCGGCAATTTCAGCTCGAGCAGCCGAGCGTCAGTCACATAGAGCCTGTACTGAAACAATATGGAATGTGGCAGTTGGTTCCAACTTTTCTTTTTACTGGTCCGCTCCAAACCACGATGCATCTTGCCGCCAAATAGTTTGTGTTTTGCACCTACTACTCCTGGGGTTGATTTGCTCTTCGTGGCCGGCCCGAAATTAATGTCTCGGGAACCAAGTGGCAGCGTTAAACTTGGAAAGCACTGCAGGGTGAAACAAGGAGACGCCAGGCTCTTTAAATCGACCGGAAAATTCGGTTTCTTAACCTATCGCGATACGACTTTGTGCAGCGTTTACCACAGATGGTGCATTTTTTTTTTTGTAAAACTTGCGAAGAGCGAATTTACCTGAGGAAAAAGTAAAGAAAGAAAAAGGCTTAGCTCCTATGGAAACGCAGCACGCCACCGGTCTGCAAACAACACGGCGCCGTTTTGCACGGGAGACAAGAGATGGTGCAACAAACGCCGCCAACGAACGAGCATACGGCGCCGAGAGCAGGCCTTTTTAGCAGACGATCTTTTCGACTCAAAAGCGGCGCGCGTTGCGCAGGCGGCGACAGTCGCAGAAACAAAAAAGACAGGCGCGGTAACAGCAAGGAACTGCAGTTCCTTGTCTGCAAAAGGGCCGGCTCTCGGCGTCGTCTGCTCGTTCGTTGGCGGCAGTTGGCGTCGCGACCGCTTGCGCCATCTCTTGTCTCCCGTGCGAAACGGCGCCGTGTTGTTTGCAGACCGGTGGCGTCGCTGCGTTTCCATAGGAGCTAAGCCTTTTTCTTTCTTTACTTTTTCCTCAGGTAAGTTAGCTCTTCGCAAATTTTACAAAAAAAAAATGCACCATCTGTGGGCAACGCTGCAGAAAGTCGTAACGCGATAGGTTAAGAAACCGAATTTTCCGGTCGATTTAAAGAGCCTGGCGTCTCCTTGTTTCACCCTGTACATCACTACCGTGCACACCGCGGGTTTAGTCCGGGATCTGTCAACACCTTTACCAATATGCAGAAAATACTCATCTTATTCGAGCGCGCCTTTCTGCACACGTTAAACTAAACGGTGTTGCTGTACCATACCGCGGACACTTTTATACAAAGTAAAGCTTCTGAATTTGTGACTCCTATTATCCCCTTTTCGTTTTAATTTGAAGACTATCAGGGGCCCTAAGCGCACTAATAAAATATTTTATAAAATAAACTCGCCCTTTCTGATATGAGTACATTCTTAAACAGTTCTAGTAAAATCTGGTTAAAAAGATATTCACTTTTTACCTAAGTGTTTAATATATCCTATCACCAACAAGAAAAGCCCGTTAGACTTATCATATATGTTAGATAATAAAACCATTAATAAAGTAAATGAAATAAAGTACCTGGGAGTTACAGCATCCAGTAACCTTAAGTTCAAGGCCCATGTCACAAACGTATGCGTTAATGCATTTAAGAAATTGGGCTGCTTGAGAAGGAAATAAAAGAAAAGAAAAACTTTTTGTCTGCAGCTAAACTGTCGCATACACGACACTGGTCAGACCAGTGTTGAAATATGCCAGTATTATCTGGAATCCGTATCAGGATTACCTTGTCAATAAGCTAGAAAAAGTTCAAAGGATCGCAGTAAGGTTCATCTATTCTAATTACTTATGGAGGGCTAGCGTTACCGCTATGCTTGCTAACGCAAAGTTGGACACCCTAAAAGATCTAAGAAAAATTGCAAGCCTAAAGTTTTTGTACGCACTGCACCAACAACAAATAAATATAGCACAAGAAAAATACCCCAAGGCCCCTTTGTGTACTCAAAGCGAACCAACCACAACAAGACGATCAGGGCGTATTCAGCAAAAAACAACACATTTCAATATTCCTTCTTCCCCCACGTTATTGATGAGTAGAATAAGTTACCAGAAGAAATCGTAAATAGTACACCAGCCCAGTCTTTTGCTGAGACTCTCACTTCTCTGCACTAGCCTAACATTCCGCTCATGCGTCTTCTTTTTCTTTCTATTTATTGCGAATCTCTTATACCACTGTAGTCCTTCTGGTCTGCACAAATGTCCAGTTCTGTTAGGGTCTTGAATGACCTACAGTGTTGATAAATAAATATTGTCAGCAGATTCCAATGCGATGTAATAAACATTAAGGAAACTTAAATAGTAATTTGCTTGAACTTCGCGGTGGATCTTGTATGCTACATAGTAACAGAATCATAACAGCGTTATATTTCAGACAAAAAGTATTGTACGAATCTTCGTTACTGGCACAGTAGTACATACCTCGTGGAGCGGGTGAATGGAGCTCCTTCGCATGGACAGCCAAGCACTTGGATTCGGATCACTGAGCCTCCACAGCTGACATATCTTTATACAACCTCGTTATCGAAGGAATACTTTCGACCTGAACACTAAGAGTCACGGGACTAGTTATGCCGACCGACGCAGTGCGAAGTCCACTCCAGCCACCGCTGTTTAAATCAAAGGGGTTGGGGGAAAGTGATAAGCGTCGTGCTGCTATCGCACCTTCTTTCTCTCAAACTTATGCAGAGAAGGTTACGAAAGAATTTGTGCTCTTATCGGTACAAATAGTCTCGTGACCCTTAGTACTCACAAGTACGCTGTGAATTTCCTTGATAACGAGGTGAAAAACAAAAATGATGCAATGACTTAGACTTAGGTACGCGCGCTTCAAGGAGATGCGCTCTGAGACATCTTGTCTGGAAGAATATATTGAAATGCAGTTAATATCACTGAGGGCTGCACAAAGCCGTTGAGGCGATTGTATTTCAGTAGTGTTATATTGCTGCCTAAAAATGCCTAGCAAATTTTTTTTTTTTTTGCCTTCTGGTTTTAAAAGGAAGACATAAAAAAAGCGCAACACGGGGTTAAAAATAAACATAAAGGTTAGTAACGTAGGTATGAGATTAAAGAAAAATGACAGGTTATATTTGGAAGGAATCGTCCTTTTTTTGGAATGACGACACTTCGAAGAATAGGAGGCTTTTAAACTGAATAAACTTGCCCAATTTTTTTATAAAGTTTATTAGTTAAAAATGTTAATTGAATACTTAGGTGTTGGACATATGAGATACCCGAGAAATGAGTGTTCGGGTTATCTTGTGAAACACAGTTTCACCTAAAATTAAATTTGGAGCCAAATGTCAAATTTATGGTTTGAGATGACTTGTCGTGTTTCGGCTGCTGATGCGCACTTCGGTTAGTGCGCTACTAGTCTTAACGTTGCGGTACTGTGTCTGAGAAAAAGAAATCTTTTAAATCGTCTCTATCTGGCCTCGAGGATTGCGAATATCAAAATTATATTCTCAATTGACGCACCAAGTAGCCAGAACAGTGCTTTCAAGATATCGCTGAAACCCCGTCCTGCTCGTCGTGTTCGGTGCAAGAAGAAATTCATGACGTCAAATACCGAGATCTTAACATTTCCGCGCTTTCCCCGAGCCTTACCCGAGCAGTCAAAAGTGCTGCAAGCGCTCCCTCACAAGCTGCACGCGCAAGACAGATGAAATCTCTGGGTATGAAAGTCACACCCAAAGGTTGGTTTTTCGTGTTTTTTTTTTGTTTTTTTTTTCTCACGTCTGTTGATACTGTCGGGTCAAATGCCTGTAATATTCAAATTCGAAGGGACGAAAAGACGCTAAATCAAAAAATACATCTTCTTTTTTTTTTTCCGGGGGGAGGGGGGGACGATTTCAGTTTTTCTTTAACGTGCACCATTGAGTTCCGATAGAACGACCGCCTTTCGGTGTGATGCGCATCAGGACCCAAACGGGAGGCTGGCAAAAAATGAAGAAAGCTGGTCGCTATGCATCACTAGCGTTTATAGGCAGATTAAGAGGGCCAGAAAACAATTTGGTATATACCATTTTTTTATCAAGATCGAACCTTGACAACTTGGTGCACTCATACGTGAAGGAGACAAGATTAGCTGCGAAAAATAGACAGGGCTTGGGCGTTCTATCGACAGCCGAGATATTGCAACGTTCTTTCATCATCCCCTCGTTTATCGATCTATTTTCAAGTGCTGCTGAGTTCTCCCACTTAGCGTGGCTTATCATTTATTCGATCTAACCGTTTATCACAGGAATTGTTAACAAGCAGAGACACGTTCTCCCCCCCAACACACACAAAAATATTTTATTTCATTCGTCGTTTCATTTCCAAGTGTGTTACTGTAGCTGAAGAATTTTAATTTTTATTCCTTCATTTATTTCAGGAAAACCCGCAGCGTCTTTTGAGCATTATTTTGTTTCAAAATGCACGCTGCATTTTAAAACGCATCAGCATTGTCACGGCACACCACTTCTAGTGTTAATAAATTCCACTTTGATGTGGTACACACAATTAATTAGTGTTTAAAATACCTCTCCTGGAGGCATATTTTCAATCAATACAAGAATAATCTGTTCGCAGATAGATTTAATTTGGTGATTGTTAGTATGATTAAGCCAAAATGTATGGTTAAACAAAAAAAATTCTACGGCGCTCCTTAAACAAAAACAAAAAACGGTAGAACTATTTCTCTATTTTATTTGTGCTTAAGAAGCGATTGTAATTTTCCAGGGACAAACTGACCAGCGACAGATTGAATGGGCTCAAGTGAATTGACATAAACACAGTTGACATGGGGCAATACATCTTTTTTCTAATCTACATAACACATATTTGTTGCAGAAAAAGTCAATAAACATAATATGAAATGCTTTTTCAATATACCCAACACAATCATTGTTTAAATAAATTATAAATAATCCCTAAAGGGAAACTGAAGTGGTTCTGTATTTCAGGAAATCTTCATCTCGCCTCAAGGATTACGTCCATTGAGACTCTCTTTCAATTTGGAGCACGGAGGCTGCAAAACAATATTTTCCTGTCCTTCCCAGAGCGTGACGTCCTGTCCAGAGTTTTCGGAATGTTCGCTCTTGCGCACCTTCAGCGCCTGTCAAAGCTAAGCACGCCCTATCTTGCTATTTTCGAAAAGGTCAGTAAAATACATCACGACTGGTATCAGTGTGGGGGAACACACCTGACAAGCTTGCAATTGCACGTGCTGCCCGCACCAGCGACACGCGCTTGGTGGCTGAAAGATCTGGTTTGACGCAAGGAATGGATGGAGGTTTTTATTGCTTTTTCTCGGGTTTAGTTATTTCTTTGGAGAAAACGAGCGTGATATTCATCTTCGCAGGATAAAAGTTCTTAAGAATTCACCTCAAACTGTTTTTCTTTGAAAACCTCTACAGCTTCTCTTTATGGTAAACCATCATTGTAATTATCGTTTAACTATATATTTATTTATTTACTTATTTTAGTACCCTCGGGACCCGGCGGGAATTATAGAGGGGAGTGGACAAGAACAGCAACAAAACAAGAACAATAAAAAAAAAAACGAAGGCTTTTTTCGCACTTCTACGAGACTGAAAAAAAAAAAAAAATTCAGCCTAAGGTCTACACTCTCAGAAAGAAAGGGTGTATTTTTACACCCCTTGTTCGATATACGACACCCCGAAACTTAAGTTCGACTTGCAGTGCACTGACGTAGAACAGACGGCCCCAACTTTTACGAGAGGCTTGAGAACGGTGAGACATACCCCGTTAAGCAGTTAAAGTACACATCAAAGACCACAGGAAAAAAAAAACACTGCGGTTTTGCAGTAGGGCCAAGAGAACCCCGATTACTTTTTTGTAATCACTAACACGTACATTAGCTGTTTTAATAGGTTGGACCACTCGGCTATCAAGCCCCTCGTGAAAGCTGGTACCGTCGGTTCCAAGTCAGCGCGCTGTTCGTTGAACTGAAGTTTTGGGATGTAGTATATGGGACGAAGGGCGTAAAATATGCCCTTTTTTTCTGAAAATGTCGGTTCCAAGTCAGCGCGAAGGGTGTAAAATATGTCCTTTTTTTCTCAAAGTGTATTAGCAAAAATTATAAACTAATGCAGCTCTAAATAAATCAATGAATGGTATATGTTTACAAAAGATGCGGGAAGGTGGTCCCAATCAGAGGACGTTCGAGGAATGAAGGATTTAAGTTCCCGACCTTAAAATGATGATCGCGAAGAAATAACAGATTGGCTTAGAAATAGCCTGTCCTTCAGTGAGCCGCTGTTCCTAGTTTCTTAGAATGACCAATTTTGTAAAGCAGCCATAGGCGTGATATTTTTCGACGTAATGAAAGAACAGGCAGAGATATAGTTGTTTACATTGATGAAACACTAGCCGTGCGATGGTATAGTTGCAGAAAATGAAACGTACTGCACGATTTTTGCGTGGCTTCCATGTTATTCATGAGCGTTGTTTGACCGAGATCCCAGATTGCTGAGGCCTACTAGAGGCTTGAGTGGACTAGAGCTTTGTACAAAAGTAGTTTTAAGGATACAGGTACTGAAGAGCAATTTCTTTTTAGATATCCAAGCATGGAATTAGTGTTGGCGACAATGTGATCAGTACGAACTTTCCATGAAATGTCAGAAGTAATATATACACCAAGATATTCATACGAAGACACAAACTGCAGAGGAGTGTTCCAAATTGAGTATGACGATGGGGACTTATTACCACGAGAGACATTCATAGCTTCACATTTGTTAGTATTAAGAGACATTTCAGGGACGTTACACCAGTCGGATACCACGCATAGGTCACCTTGAAGAAGTGCTTTATCAGATTCGTTAGTAATTTCACGGTAGATTACACAGTCGTCGGCGAATAAACTAATGGATGATGACACACAGGTGGTTAGGTCATTAATATAAATAAGAAATTAAAGGAGCCATAGAACGGACCCTTGGGGAACGCCAGAAGTAACGGGACTGGGACAGAAATTAGCTTCATTGCTAGTAAGCAAAATAGAACGATAAGTTAGGAATCATTTAGTCCATGACAGAACATTCGGGTCTATCTTAAGTTTACTATGTTTAAAAATTAGAAGTTCATGAGAAACTTTGTTGATGCCTCACAAAAGTCAAGCAAGACACAGTTAAACTGGGATCCACGGTCAAGAATGAAATGTATATCATTGCGTGTAAGCATACGGCATATGGGCACTCCAATACATTTGTTCCGATTTCTAACTTAAAATAAAAAAAATAGGAGTCACTTGTCTAGATCAGCAGCCTCGGCAGCTTCCAAAGTGTAGACCGAGATATTGAACGCAGATAATAAATTATTCCTTGCCTCTTCCACAGAACGGCTATTTTGATTGCAATGTAGACGTGATGTAACTATCCAGCTGCAGAATATTTCACTCCTTCACTTGACCTTTTTCTTACCACGTTAAGCGCGCATTTCATTTTTTTTTTATTTTCTGAACGTGTAATATATTTGTAGCGTAATGACTGTATTCCATTGTAAGAAGGTGGAGCTTCGTCAGGACGCATTTCTGCGGCCTCCCTTTCTCCAGCGGTAACTATGGTGAAAAAAAAGTTCGCATCCTATCGTATTGTTTCTCAGTACCACATATGAACCTATATAGAAGTCCATCGTGAGTATGATAAGATATGGCGTAGATTGAAATTATATATTTACATGCCATGTTGAATTAACCTGAGGTTGGGGTAGAAGAGAGACATTGAAACGTAGAAGCGAAAAACAAAAAGAGCGAACGGCGTCGAAAATAGACACACGTCGTATTGTCTATTTTCTGTTCCTTCTACGTTTTGATGTTTCTCTTGTACCCCAGTCTCTAGTTAATTTGACATGGTTCATATTCACCAGTTCACCTACACAATAACTATATTTTCTTTCATATTTATATGATTTGATATTCAATTCATATGAGTTCATATGAGGTGGCCCTGTGAAGGAACGCATTTGATAGAAAAATGTATACTTTATTCCTACAACGAAGATTCTGCGTTTTCTGTTCTTTTCCTTGGGAAATTTGGAGGGTGTGCTTTTGGATATTTTTTTCCCTAAAAATTTGATGTTTATCTCAGTTTTTTTTATTATATTCCAAATTCCTTAAAATTAGCAATTGTATTGTGCTCTTACTTCAAGAAAATAAACTCCTTTATCATGACTTTATACGGACGGAATGTTCACGAGCTAAAAGGGAAACCTCTTTTGTCAGTAGTTCTGAATTTTAAAGGAAACTGCAGTACCATCTCCTTAGGACCACTGGCCCTGTGCTTTAATGAAGATTATTTCGAAAACCTCGTCTTTTTGTTTTTAAATGGTCGTTCTGACCTCGGAATTCTGCGTCTTTCGTACAAATTCGAATTGATGAAAACCTTTACTGGCGAGTGTCTTTCGGTTTCTTTTTCTGATTTATCTGAAAACTCGTAACCGTACTTATAATTTATCAATGAGTCGTGTATGATACCTAACAAGGGATTCGAGAGAATCTACGGTAGCAGATGAAGGAGGACCCATGTAGGCCCACGTGTGCAAAAAGTGGGCTTGAGCGGCCCCTGCAATACCCCTGTGGGTCCCACCTCAGTTATGCGAGGCGTAAGTTAGCATAGTTTTGTGCTAATCGAGGGCACTCCCTTTGGGGGTGTCCGACGCAATACCTCCGCGGGTCCTGCTTCGGTCAAGATGAAACATGGCTTGGGTAAGCTTATCACTGCGCGAATCGCAGCTGAAACTGACCGGGAGCAATTGCGTCTTACTTTAGCCGATTACTTTCATACCATGTTGCACTTCGAACCGCTAGACAACGATAGCTGTCTTGCCTGCCAATTCAAGTACACATAGCAGTTGTATGCAAATAATACTTAAAAATACACTTTGCATTCATCTGGTAAACATTCCCTACTGAAAAGACCCGTACAAATTTTTGCCATCTGGATTATGAAACTGAAAATCTAGTTGGATTCCGTCTGGATTTCTGGTTTTCGGAAATAATTCCTTTGTCTGCAAACTGAATTTCAAATTTCCAGAAACAATTCCAGTTAGATTTCCAGTTTCATAATCCATGCTGTGAAAGGTTATACTGGTGTTTTTCGTTAAGGATGCCACTCTTTTGCCCAATCATTGTAAAAAAATAGTAATGCATCTATACGAATCGAGTGGGTAGGATGGCTAGGGTAGAGTGTCGCGGAGGTGTGGCGTTGGAGTTTGTGCCTTGTACTGGTGACAGGAATGTGCCTGTAACAGTGTTTTGTTCGTTGGTTGGTGTTCGTTCTATGTATGAGTTGGTGTATAAATGGTTGTCTCAGGAAGTCTACAATAAAAAAAAATTTGCGCCATCTAGCGGTTACTACTACCCTTTCTAAGTGGCGCATGCTGCCGCCTGATTCAAGAAGCTCGGCGTTGAGCAGACATGTATGTACTGATTTAAAAACAGCTGGCCTGTGGGCCACTACTATTCCTACCTCTCAGCCGGATAACAATCGTAATTACTGTGCCACTCAGCCACCTAAATGCTCGTTCTGTGTCAAGGAGCCGCGAAATGCAGGCATACACAGACACGAATGGATAACCACGTCGGTAGAGGTAGGCACAAACAAAGAGATAAAAATAAACAAATAGCGGTAGCGTGGGTGCGAGCTGAACGCCTCTGGTCGGTATCGAAGAAAGGTGCCCAGCGATTGTTTGTTCAATAAAAGCAGCATATATATTCCTCGCGTAACAATTTTTTTTTTCGAGCGTTCTCTGCCGGCGGTAAAAATACTGTAAATCTGGCGAGATTCCGTCGGGCGCAATCGCAGTGATTCCGGCTTGCACACTGCCGTCTTTACAGGATGTAGGCAAGGTATTGGTGTTTGGGGACGGTTGTTTGGAGTGTTTCATGACATTTGGAAGACGTCAAATAGATTTAAGTGCTCTATTCTATTCCTCGGCCAAAAAGCCGTCCTGTTCGCTAGGCCTTATCGGGGAATTCGAGCATCGCTTACCGGGGGCCATGTTGCTTTAGGAGGTAGCCAAATTTTACTGCCTGTTTTTTCTACTAGGTATGGAGTCCTCCTTTTTATCCTAGGGGTAGTTATATTTGTGACAACGTTTCACCACCCCAAAAGTAGTAACATAGGCTTCCTTTTTTCTGAGAGTGTAATGGACCTTAAATAATTTTGTTACTTGTAACAGATTGAGTAGAATCTGTTATGGTCATGGGACTATTTATTAATTTTTGGCTTGCTTCCGAGGCCGCGAAGCTATTATTTATGTCACTAGCTGGGCGCAGTGTCCCGGAAGTCATGTGCGAGAAGAACGATAGTGAAACGACGTCTGGGACATACGAAACACGATCCGGGTCAGGAGGGGGCAGTTCCTCCCTCCTCTAATACTGCCTGGGTTACGCTTTTACCTCTGTACTTTTGGCAACACTGTGGGCAACTAGTGATATAGTGTAAAGGCTCCGGTGCATCGCTGCATTACCATATTTATCGTAAATAGTTTAAAAGCTCAATCTTGTGTCCTTCTAAAGCGTACGGGTAGGTCCAGCTTATTGAAGTTTGGGCTCATTAAAACTCTGAAGTCATATTCGCAATCAGTTGCATAGCTCGCTTAGATATCTAAGCGATAAAGGAAAAGAATACTATTGCTGTTGTTGAAGAGCTAATGGTCATGACAATTATTAAAAAAGAAGGAGACTAGAATAAACCAAAAATTCAATATCTTTACAACCCTTATGCACAAATATTTAACTAATAAAAATAATTCGCAAAATGTTGATATAATCTGATTCTTTGATTGCTGTGTCACGTGTATGAAAGTATAGAATAATGTAAATGTATAAAACAATCAATACTCTCTTCCCTTTTATTATCCAACAAACATTTATTTCCAACGTTAAAATGACAATTAGCCGATGTAATAGAGAAAACGTTATGGGCTTCTTTCAATCTACTAGAGGTATTTCTCCAAAATGAAATGTTGATCATCATCTAAGCTGAAGAAGCGACGCAATATTTCACAAACCTTGGTTTACGCTTTGCATGTTTTTCAAACTTTTTTAATGTGAACAGCTGAGTTTTACGAAATACGAAGGTAAAGAAGTGAGCAAGGTCACCGCTGTCCTTGTTCACTGCTTTACGTTCGTGTTTTGTAAAAATTTCAGACAACCATATTAACTAGTATGGGAACTAGCTCTAGAAAATCCCGTAACAGTTTGGACTCCCTTTGGGTCAGATGAATAATTTGAGCTAATTTTAAAGGAAGCACTTCATTGAAACTTCTGTTAAGACCGTTGCAATCTGTACTGGGCCGTTTGCATCTGAAGTAAATCTCCAAATACGCTAAAAACCAAATAGGTGATAGGGATCCTCGTTTACTCGTGCACCTTTTCACGTAACACCTCGTTACGTCAAATGTATTAGTTCTTACTTGGACAGTAGAAAGCTCTTATGTACAATCAAGCGACAAATGAACTGCAGTTAACTTAACCGCACTTCTTAAGCGAGTATCAACTTGCAAATCAAGCCTCGCGTGCTATGTGCCGTTCACTTATTTTGGAGTTTTTGGCGTTTTTTTCGGTGTCTTCTTAATTCGAATGCAGTTAAGAGCACCCGATGAAGGAATCTGTTACTTGAATACCGTCATCATTATATGGTTAAAAAGATTGCCAGAAAATGCACCGAGCCGATGCCTTAAAGGGGCCCAGCAAGCACTTTTTTACTGGTTTTTAATTTGCACCAAACCTGAGCGCACTGACCGTAGTAACGTAATGTAACTTTTCTTTTCTCGAATTTCACTTTATTTTAAAAGTTAGAGGCAAATTAAAATTACAAAAACAAGCAAAAAATAACCTCCCTCATGACGTCCTTGGGTGCTTGAGTGGCCGTGAACTAGAGGAGGGATAGTCAGCTTAGCGAGCGCTCACGGCTGCCGCACTGCGTGTCCACGGCGCGAGGGGGCGCCACTAAAGCGTGTTCTGGATAAGCTGTACGCAGTGGGCAGCCAGAGCGGCTCTCATTGCATTTGCTGCGCGATTAAACATTAATTCGGCATGACACTTCATTGGCCACAAACGACAGCAAACACGGGGTAAAAACCAGTTCAGAATGGGAGCCACTTCACGCTGCCGTACCGCGAAATGGCCAGAACGCAAGACAAAGCTACTCGCTGAAGGCCTTCGGAACGCTCGGAGCCGGTCGGATCCTCCAGTCCGTAAACGACCGCAGCGCCGCCGCGTACATCCGGGATCTTTCCGTGTCGGCGCCTGATCCCACTACTCTTTTCTAGTATGCGCCGCCTTTTCCATCGCTTGGTGGCGGGTATGTCGACGGGTCATTTCTTGTTTCCGTACTTTATAAACTGCATTTGTTTCTTGTCTGATCTAAAATACTGAACAAAAAGTACTTCTATAAATAATTGAAACGGTTCGCGCCACTTATGTTTTGTATTTCGACTAAAAAGAAGCTTCTAGCGGCTTTGACCAGTAGTAAGCCCAGGACCAAAGACGTCACATATTGCGTGCTTTCGGCAACGCGGGTCGCCCTCGTAGGTGGAGGAGGTTTCCGCGTCGCCCGGTGAAAATATGATGCACTGATATTTAGTTACTCTCTCCGTGCCCGCTGGCTTGCCCGAACCCCAAGAGACGTGGAAAAAGCAAAAAAGGTAGACGCTTAAATATGATTGCAGGGCCCCTTTAGAAAGCGACAATTCTGCAATCAAATATTCACGGGTTTCGCAGTTCTAACTTCAACTTAACCCCATCTTTCGGGTACGCAGTAGCGTTCGGAACGACCACTTTTAATGGGTCCTGCGTCTCCTCACACTGTACCACTCTGAAGCTACGCAGGACCTTGCAGACAGTTGCTTTCAGCTCGAGCATCGCAAAGCGCTTGCCGATGCACGCGCGAGGACCGAGTCCGAAGGGAAGGTAGGCCCCCACATGGGGCTTCCCTTTGTCCTCGTTGAATCTCTCAGGGTCGAATTTAAGAGGGTCCGGCCAATGTTCGGCGCTGTGGTGAAGGTGCCACACCGGAAGAGTCACGTTGGCACCGGCCGGGATGAACTGACCCATCACCGTGATGTCTTGCTGGCAGTTCCGAGACACGAAGGTCACAATCACAGGGTACAAGCGCAAGCTCTCGCTGATCACCATTTCCAGGCGTTTGAGCCTGTGGAGTTCGTCGTAGCCCAGTTCTTTTTTGTCAGGGAACGCTTCCGTTATCTCGCGGAGAATCTTGTCTTGTTCTTCGGGGTACTTGGCCAGGATGTGCATTATATACGCCAGTGCAACGGCGGTTGTGTCGAAGCCACCTAGCAGAAATATGAAGCAGTTTGCAATGAGCAGACGATCTTCGATCAACGGCTCATACTCGTCATGGTCGTCAGCACTGCTGCCTTTTTCGGTTTGAGCATCTAGCATCAGTTGAAGCATGTCCGGCACATCAGGCGATATTCCACTCCGTCGTATATGGACTACTTTGCTGAGGTTCTGAGTGATATTGTTAAGAGTTCTTGCCAATTTGGTGAACGGATGCAACCATTCGATCAGCTTGTTCAGAGATGGGAACCAGAACACTGCCCTTGTCACAAAATTATCTGAACTGAGGAATATGTTCCGAACCTCACGGAGTAAGGGCTCATGGGGATTTCTTTGGGAGTCCACCTGTGGGATTGTAAAGAATAGAATATTATTAATTGCTCGAACATAAAATATCTTGCATTCTAATCAAAGGATGATATCACGCACGCAATAGCACTTAGTCTACTACAACCCGCTTACTTGTATAAAGATGTGTCTACGCTGAGAAAGAAAGAGAAAGAAGGAGAGAGAAAGTAAAATAAGGTTGTGGAGGTATCGACACCATATGATATGCATTAAAGCTCGTAAGGCATTACGACTCCGTTTTTGTTTTTCTTACTACTGAAGAAACACACGCCTGCATCTTGAGAAATGCTGATGAAATGAACAAATACTGAAAATAATATTAAAAATATTATTTATTTATATGACAACAAGAACATATCTACGTCACACGCATGGTTATGAAGGTCATTTAGTGTTTACGACCCGACTGAACACAGTTAAAGTGACAGCAAGAGGCACTACGCTTGTACCAGGAAAAAAAATACGAGAAAAAAAAAAGAAGCTGAAAGTACGAATAATATTTTGAGGCAACCTCGTTTGTTGGAGGCTTCCAATATACAGGGCGCATGTTTTATTTTGCATATTTTAACGAATTGAGTGGCAGCTACCCGCATATTGTCTTCATTTCTTGTGTAGCGACCTCGGCGGACGTTACGATAGTAGACAGAATAACCGACACAGTGAGTAGACTAACTAAATTTTGTTTATGACCTTTTTAATTAATTAGCAGATGGGCTATGTTGCAATTTCGGCTTTCAAGACAGTCATTATCAGGAGCTTGATCAAATTAAACAATTTGTGGAATAGCGACGGTTTCTGAGATATTCATCGACCAGTTACCGTGTCTGTTGTCGCCCGATTCCAAAACTGGACGCATAAAGTACGCTATAATTCATTTCACTGTAACTTTGTACAACGAAAGCTACGGCCCCCTCAAGCAAACGAGAGTGATTGAGGAAGCACATGAGAGGGCCCTTCCCAAATGTACAGGTTTGGGAGCTTAGCGCGGGCGGAGAGGAGGGGGAGGAGGAACCCCTCTTACCCGGGCCCTCTTTTGTTTGTCTAGAATAATAATCATAAGCCTACAGTGCACTGCGACGGGCGCACAGCAGGAAATAAAAGTATAGAAAAAAAAACAATAACAAAAGTCACCTTAACAAGTTCAGCCGATATCAAATATAACAACAGTAAATGCAGCCAATCATCATAAGCATCCGTAAAAAAACAATGAACGAATTTCTCTAAATGACATTTTGTTCAAATCGAAATGTTTAGATTTATAAAGATTTAGTAAATTAGGATATTGCATCGTAGCGTCTGTTTGCCAGAAGCAAACATTTGAAAAAACTGGAGACGACGTACAAAGAAGGGGGCATACATAAAACATCCCAAATACAGCTATTAAACTTTATTGACAGAACCGTTTATATACCATCTCTCACACACACGTCTCCCGGAATTTCCACACATCTTTCTGACCTTCAACCACGGTAGAGATCTATTTTTGTACAAAACAATGGTACAAGCAACACCTCAAAACAAAGCGACCTCCGCAAAGAGCACCCTCCCAGGTCCCACCAGTGCCACCTGATAAAGCAAACAACAAACCTATCACCTAAAGCTAACAAAAAAACTCTTTCAAAAACAAAAACCTTCGGGTTGCTCCATCTAGTGTTATCGACAGTTGACTGATACAATTTCCTACGGACGCAATTCTGATTGTCCCCTTCAAGTTTTTTTTGCACGATCTTTTTCTTTGCTTAACTCAAATGTTTTCCCCCAATCAGGCAAATCATTATTGCATTCCTGTACATCTTTAGAGATCTGAATGATATCCCAATAACCTGTGGGTTTTCGAACGTAGGGCAGACGAAAAGATACCTATATGACGGACTTCTAGAGCACATGGGGATGATCAAGAACAGATCTCCGAATTTTGAGATCGCTAAACATGTCCAGGAATGCAATATCGTTTTCCTGATCGGCGGAAAATTGTGGTATTAAGCAAAGCAAAAGATTGTGCAAAAAGTGTCTTGAAGGAGGCAATCAGAATTGCGTTCGTAGGAAATTCCATCAGTTAACCGTCGATAGGACTAGATGGAGCGACCGGAAAGTTTTTGTTGTTGCAACAGTTTTTTTTTTTTTAATTTTTTGGTGACAGGTTTGTTGTTTGCTTTATCAGGCGGCAGGGTGGGACCTGTGAACGGATTCATGAGGGTGCGCTTTGAGAAGGTTGCTTTGTTTTGAAGTGTTCCGTGTACCATTGTTTTGTACAGGAGGAGGTCTCTACCACGGTTGAAGGTCACAAAGACGTGTGAAAATTCCAAAAGGCGTGTGTTGCATGGGGCATACGTTTGTGAATTGAGGTCACGACGCGTTGTACCGCGGTGGAAGGTCGCAAAGACGTGTGCAAACTCCTGGAGACGTGTGTGTGTGAGACGGTATATAAACAGTTGTGTCAATAAAGGTTAGGACCTGTGTTTGATACGTTTTGTGTTTGTCCCCTTCTTTGCCCGTCATCTCCATTGTTAGTACGTGTTGCATCAAACAGATCGCCTGTTCACTTACTCTTTCTTCAAGTTTGCCATGGTTCGTTTTGCGTTACCACAGCCAAACACCTGGTGCTATGTGTAGGACACACACTAATATTTGTTTAGATACGATCAAGGGCTATTAGAAAGTTCGTATTCCTAGTGACCTCTTTCTTTAGGTTAGTACCATGTCTGTAGTGATACAAAGTGCGAACGCTTATGATCCAGAACTTTTTTAAAAGGTCTGATATATGAGGCTGAAATAGAATATTGCCTATGGTCCTTACCGTTTTCTTTTGCAACGGGTGTACCCTTTCAAAAGTCGTTGAAGTTGGTGCGCCCCAAACTGAATGACCGTAATTTAGGTTAGAATAGAACACGAAATTATAAACCATTCTTTCACGTTCATCGCTAAAGTATTACAATGACGGTATAACATTGCCACAACTTCTGAAAATTTGTGTATAATGGGGCTTATGTGATAATACCATGACATATATAAAAATTACGTCTAGAATTTTTAAGTTTACAAAGTATTCTTTTCTGAATTTATGCTCAGGCCTTTCGTAAGGGTGACTACTTCATTTTCGGGAGGATTCAACACATATTTTTTATTATCTATTTGAAGTAAATTAAATCTACTCCACCATTTCAACCAAGAAAGCGTCAGGTTTGCTTTGTCAAATAACAAATCAGCACTTTCAACATAGAAAATATACTTTTGTAATGAGCATAATCTACGAATTCGGCATCTGAATTAACAAAAATATTATGATTTACGTGTGCATATATTGAAGTCGCTCTTGTCCCCCTGTCACTAAACACTCGTACAAAAGCGTCCTTCCGCTCTCTCCCGCCCGTGGCTTCAACAGCACTGCGCTCAACTAGTAAGATCGAGTGATGTCACGTGTCTCCCTCCGACGCGCTGACTGGCTCACTGGGACCGTAGCGTTCGCCGTTTGCCATGTCACGGTGAGACGAAGTATAGAATCCCTCCCCAGAGTTACGCTTATTAGAGTAACGTAGTCGTTTTGAGTCACGTCGTGACTATCTAGGCAGCGCCTCCTTGGAAGATACGCCGAGAGAGTGGTGAGGTGCTAGAGACGGGTCCCCATCAAAACGCCGAAGAATAAGAGGCTGACTTATAAAGAGGCCGAACGTCAGAACGCCGAAAAATTGAAATGCAGAAAAAGTTGAAATGCCGAAAAATCTAAATGCGGAAAAGTCATAACGCCGACAACTACAAAAGGCGAAATCGAATGACGAGCTTTGTCATTTCCATTTGTTCGTTTTACGCCGAAGCACTTCCCATTGACACGAGCCTTTTTAGCTCGATCTACAAGGACACCAGTATCAATGTAGATTAAACAGATCTAAAATTTTGTATTTTGCTATTTGTCGTAAATCTAGGCCTAGCAGTCAGAGAGGAGCTCTTATTTGTCAGCAGAAAAAGTGGAAGCCGTTTACAAATCCCTGTAACGCCGAATTGGAGCGCAGCTCTTGAGGAGGAGGAGTGAAGGGTACTGAGGGGAGGGTAGACCCCTCCCCCTTCTCCTCCTCCTCCCCTCATTCTTTAATATGCTCCGGGGGGTGTCACGTGACTTCGGGGAGGGGGTCACGTGACCTCGGGGAGGCGTGACCTGGGGGTGACCTCAAGGCCACGTGACCCCAAAGGTGACCCCCACGTGACCTTGGGGTCACGTGACTTGGAGGGGTCACGTGACCTCGGGGGGTCACGTGACCTCAGAGGGGTCACGTGACCTGGGGGTCACGTGGGGTCACGTGACCTTGAGATGACCTTGGAAGGGGTCACGTGACCTTGGGGGTCACGTGACCTCGGGGGTCACGTGACCTTGGGGAGGCGACCACGTGACCTCGGGGGTCACGTGACCTCAGAGGGGTCACGTGACTTGGGGGTCACGTGACCTTCAAAGGGTCACGTGGGGTCATCTTGGGGTCACGTGACCTTGAGATGACCTTGGAAGGGGTCACGTGACCTCGAGGGGTCACGTGACCTTCAGGGGGTCACGTGGGGTCATGTGACCTTGAGATGACCTTGGGAGGGGTCACGTGACCTTGGGGGTCACGTGACCTTGGGGTCACGTGACCTTGGGATGACCTTGGTTACGCCGACGGCGACGGCGACGCCGACGGCGACGCCGACGCCGACGGCGACGCCGCTCAAGCCGGGAACGGGCCCCTAAGAGCTGCGCTCTAAAAAGCAGCGCTGCCCAGTGTTTAGATTACAAGAGAAGCAGCAATCAGCAGCAGTAGTCATTTCACTGATTCGGAGGGACATGGACGAAGACGTAATTATGTGTTCCCAAAAGGCAAAAGCGAAAGGCAGTTTCGAAGACACTGCCTTTCGTACTTACGTACTTGACCAGAAAATGGGTTCTAGACACTATTGGAGATGCGAAAAGCAAGGCGAAAGCTTCGCTAGAATCATTATCGACCTTCCTGTAGAAAGTATTCACATGATCATTC